CCCATCTTAAGACTTGAACTTGGCTCCTCCTAATGGTTTCGTTAATAAATCTGCCAACTGCTCCTGTGAGGCAATATGTAGTGTCTTCACTTCACCTGCTTGGACTTTATCACACACCAAATGACAATCAATTTCTATATGTTTTGTGCGTTCATGAAATACGGGATTACTAGCTATATGTATAGCTGACTGATTATCACAAAACAACAAAGATGCCTTAGTGTGTTGCACTCCCAAATCTTTAAGTATGTTCCTCAACCAACTGAACTCACAAATAGCCGCAGCCATAGACCGATACTCTGCCTCAGCTGAGGACCTCGAAACTGTGTGTTGTTTCTTGGATTTCCATGACACTAGTGAGTTCCCCAAGAAGATGCAATAACCGGTAACAGACCTCCTAGTGTCGGAGCATGCCGCCTAATCAGCGTCACAGTAGCCCTTAAGATGCAAGTCAGATTTCTGAGCAAAGAACATCCCTTGCCCAGGTGTTCCCTTTAGGTATCGCAATACATAATATGCTGCCTCCAGATGAGGCTACCTTGGTGTTTGAAGAAATTGACTGAGGACCTGGACAACACATGATAAGTCAGGCCTCATGATAGTCAAGTATAGAAGCCTCCACACCAATCTCCTATACATGCTTGCATCCACAACATCTTCACCATCATCCTTACTCAACCTCAGATTCCGTGGTAATGGATTGCTAGCTGGTTTTGACCAAGATATCTCGAGTCTGTTAATATTTCCAAAGCATATTTCATTTGGCAAATGGATATGCCATCAGAATTTCTTGCCACCTCAAGGCCTAAGAAGTATTTTAGGACACCTAGATCTTTTAGTTTGAATTGTTCATTGAAACCTTGTTTGAATTTTTCAATGTAAGTAAGGTCATTACCTGTCATCAACATAAATGAGAAGTGTGGTGAATGAGCAGCCTTCTTGTTTACTGAATAAAGAGTAATCATATTTCGACTGCGGAAGCCTTGAGAAGTAATGTAAGAAGACAACTTGGCGTTCCATTGCCGTAACGCCTGTTTAAGGACATAAGTGGATTTGTTTAACTTGCAAACCAATTTCTCACCATTCACCCCCTACTGTTCATAGCTTTGTGGCATCACCATGTACACTTCCTCATTCAAGTTGCCATGTAAGAAGGCATTATTAATGTCAAGTTGATAGAGGTACCACTTTCTCTGTGCAGGAACAGCAAGCAAGGTTTTCACTGTAACTACCTTGGCAACTGGTGAAAACGTCTCCTCATAGTCTAAGCCAGCCTGTTGGGTGAACCCCTTGGCCACAAGCCTCGCCTTCTTTCTCTCTTCATACCATCAGAATTTAATTTGACCTTGTAAACCCACTTGCAGGCAACAAGAGTTTTATGAGCAAACATAGAAACAACAGACCAAGTATTATTGGATACTAGAGCATGATACTCTGCATCCATGGCCTTGCGCCAATCTGGATCCTTAGTAGCATCAACAAAAGACTGAGGTTCATTGATTGTGGACAAGGCTACATCATAATGTCTGTGAGAAGGAGACAACATACTATAGTCCAAGTAATCTGCAACAAGATACTGAAGCCCAGAGACAGGATGATCCACCATGGGATTTGATTAGGGAGGAGATGTCTGAGATACCAGTCTACAATGATAGTCATATAGATAAGAGGGAGTCTTTTTGGATCTGTTGGATCTTCGAGTGATGAGAGGAAGTGGAAGAGAAGATATGGCAGTAGAAGATGTGTCAGGAGAGGGAGTGTGAGATGATGAAGTACTATCTGAAGAGAATTGAGATGCAGGTTGAGAAGAATCAGGAAAATGATGAATAAGAGAAGAAGTGACCGGAGAAACTTCCTCACCAGAGATATGTGGAGAAGAAGGTAAATAAAATATATCATGAAAGGAATGAGGCAAGGTAGAAAAGAGATTCTGATCCCTATAATAGGACATATGTGAGGTGGACAAAGAATTAAGAAAGGCAGGATGTTGATAAGGAAAAATGGTCTCATGGAAAGACACATCTCGTGAGGTAAATGTCACACGTGTTTGAAGGTTATAAAGTTTGTAAGCCTTCATGCCATAGGGGTAACCAAGGAAAACACAAGGAGTGGCCCTAGGATCGAATTTTGTACGATTTCTCTTAAGGGTAGAAGCATAGCAGAGACAACCAATGACCTTAAGATGATTGTAAGATGGAGTGACTTGATAAAGAATTTCGTAAGGGGATTTGTTTCCAATGACAGAAGTGGGTATCATATTGATCAAATGTGTGGCAGTAAGAATCAATCTCCCCAAAATTGGTGAGGTAAACTCGCCTGAAACTTGAGAGCCCTGACAATGTTGAAAAGGTGTTGATGTTTTCGCTCAACTACCCTGTTTTGCTGTGGTGTCTCCACACAACTCAGTTGATGAATGATGCCTTTATCACGATAAAAACCAGGCATGATGAACTCTAATCCGTTGTCAGATCGAAGGTTTTTGATATTACATTGAAAGTGTGTTAAAACCAAGTGGTAGAAGAACTAAATAATAGATTTAGTTTGGGACTTCTCACGTAAGAGATAAGTCCAGGTCATTCTGCTGTAAT